TAAACTAGGCTTTTCAAACCAACCATTGTCAATATGAGTTGCCTTGGAATGTATCCATGAAAACTAAAAAACGTTCTGGAAGGTATTGAGTTCTAAATGGCTTTATATGGAATTGACTTAATGGAAAATTGTATCACGTAAGTTTCCTCTTCATTGTTTAAGGTGTTTTATATAATATATAGAAACCACAATATTTTCTGTACTTTCTTTTGAGAGATTTTTGCTATAGGACACATGTGCTTGCCAGAGAGAGAGAAAGAGAGAGAGAGAGAGACAGAGAGACAGAAAGTGAGAAATAACTCCCCAGAGGAGATGACCATGTCACAATCCCTTCTCCATTTTCCTCTTGGGATTTTGGGCATGTACATGCCCAGCGTGAGTTTTAGGCCACCGGGCCCAGGTGGACTACATGGGAGTCCAGCAGTGTAACAATTACGTCATCTGCTGGTCCCAATATTTTATTTTTAAATTCTTTTTAAAATTTGCTATAGGGCATATGTGCTCACCAGAGAGTGAGAGGGTGAGCTCCTGGGGTAATGATCATGTTATAATCCCTTCTCCTCCATTCTTCTCCTAGGATTTTGGGTCTGCACACACACATGCTTGGTGTGTTTCTTGGGCCACCGGGTCCAGGACCTGCAGTGCACATTTGGCCGTGTGAGATCCAACCACCTTAACTACCGTGCTATTGGCTGGGTCAAACTATAATATATTCTGATGTTACCAATTTAGGAGTTTGGAGATCATCCTAACAACTTTACAATATTAGGATTGGTAATTTAGGTGATCCAGAAATGTCTGGAAAAGAAATTTGAATGACACATTTTTAAGTCATTTTTCCTATGAAATCTTTTATAGTTCTTTTAAAAGTATATAATGTGTTTTAACAGAGATCATTTCATTCCTTCCTTAAGATCACTTTCTTTTTTTAGTGAATTCAAAACAATGGACATTATAAAAAGTCATCCCTCTCAGATAAAGCCAATGAAGTTTTGGAAATAGATTCTCATTAAAAATCGTATTTTTGACTCAGCCAGTGGTAATGCAAGTTCCCTGCAAGGCTAGAAGCCATCTGGGTGACCACGGGTTCAGAGTTTCCAATCAGCCTGAAAATACAGTGGGTGCTCAGGAACTGGAGGGCTGGGGAAAGGGATCACAGTGGTTCTAAGACCCATGGGAGCACTGCAGGGCTCTCCCTGTGTGCTAGCAATAAAAAAATTATATGCTGAATGTACTTTTGATGTTTTCACTCACATGTGAGTTGTTTGAAATAGGCTGACGTTTATGAAATGTCTCAGGGGAACTGAGTGCTGAAGATTTAATAGCATGAGATACAGTTTCAGATTTCATAGTTAGGTAACAGTGATCTAAATCTTGCTATTCGCCATTTTATACACTTGAAACCTGAGATTCAGAGAAATCTGGTAACTTGCCAAAGTTAGTTAACAAGAGCTAAAATTTAATATTGTGATTTTGATACCAACATTTTAAACAATATGTGAATGTTACATATTTATAATCTTTGCTTAAACCTTTAGAACTGTAAGGGAAACTATACATTGATCTAAATTGCCAAAATAGGCTTCCTGTTAATAATGTAAAAGTAGTTCAGTGAGTCATGATATAAAGATATTCTGAACATGGCCACTAGAGGGAAGCACCTAGCTGCTATATGTGGTATAAATCCTACTCTTAGGGGAATGCTTTTTTGCCAGATTGTATTCAGATATTAAATATTATTGCAGCGCTATTATAGTCAATGTATGAACACAGTTGTATGCTAATGTGACATAATTTTCTAAAAGTACTTCATTTTGTTAACATTTATTTTGTTTTTCTCTTAAATCAGAGCTATAATCTTTTTTTTTTTTTACCAAAGAGAATAAAAGGATGCCACTTATTTCTCCTGTAAGGATGTTTAAAATCATCTGTGTTATATTTTATGGAGTAGAAAAATTTATTACATGTTAAGTACATTCTCTTCCTCATTTACTTTTTTTTCTTCACTATAGGGCGCGTGCGCTCGCCCTAAAGACAGAGAGATAGAAAGCGAGAAATCACCCCTCAGGGTGGATGGCCACGCTGCAGTCCCTTCTCCTCCATTCTCCTCTCGGGATCCTGGGCACTCACGCACACGCACTCGGCATGAAGCTGCCGGGTCCGGGACCTGAACCGCGGTTGACCACATGGGAGTCCAGCGACATAGCCATTATGCTAACTGCTGGTCCCCGAATTCACTTTTGAATTGGAATATCAAATGACTGGTTTTTAAAAGATTTATGGAGATTTTAGAAAGAATTATTATGTACAATATTTCCAATACAGTTATGAAGTTGCCTAGTTGGTACTTTTTCTTCTCATTTCTCCAAGACCATGAGTTCATTGAAAGCAAGTATCATACATTAATTTTTGTTTTTTTTGTTTGTTTGTTTTTTTTTTTTTTTGGTTGTCAGAGGATGTATGCTCACTAGAGAGAGAGGAGGAGAAAGCATCAGCTAATGGGGTGTGATCATGCTGTAGTACTTCATTTCTCCATTCTATTGGAATTTTAGGCATGCACACCCGTGTGCCCAGCATGTTTTTCAAGCTGCTGGGAAAAGGATTTGAAATGTAGGTGGCCATATGGGATCTGGCTCCCTATGCACAGGGCTTACCCACTATGCTATGGGGCTACTAGCACCCTATTTTACTCAGTATTTAATCCCAGCTCCAACCATAGTCCTCTCTCAGAGTCAGCACTTGATAAGTGTCTATTGAGAAGTCCAGAAATAGTGAATGTAGACTCATAAGGAATATGAGTCTTAACTTTATTAGTTTGAACCTTTAGCCTTTGTCAAATAATTAAATTTAGAGCCTTAGTTTTCATAACCTTATAGGTTTTCCAAAGAATCAGATTAGACACTATAAAGTTCCTGTCATACCATAAGTGATAGCTTAGCTATTATCATTATTATCGGTGAGCGCTAATGATTATTGCTAGTAATAATGGCAGTGGTAGTAGAGGTAGAACCCATCGGACTGTACACCTGGAGGTCTGACCAACTCTGGGGCTCTGTCGAATGTGAGTCTTTTCCCTTCACTTTTCTGCCGTGCCAGGATAGTAGAAGACGGTATGAGTGAGATTATACATTTTGGACCTGAAAGTTATAGTATGGGTATCTTTTCAAAAACATTTTGTAGAGTTTGCTTTTGTTTGTGTGCTTGCTCTAAAGAAACAGGAAAACAGAGACAGGGAAAGTGAGAAAGCACCCCCCATGGGGGGTGGTCATGTGAAAATCCCTTCTCCATTTCTCATTTTGGGATTTGGGGCACACATACATATATATTTGGCCTTTTTCTCAATCCACCCTTACTACTTTACTGTAATCACTATTGCTTCTTTCTCCATTTCTCCATTCCATATAAAGACTTTTTATAACAAAGTGGTTAAGATTATAATTTGAAGGGTCTTCAAACAGTTTGTGGAAAATACATATTATGAAAAAATTACACATGGGTTTCTAACTTTTTTTTTGCTCCAAAGGAAACTTACTTTAATTTCATTTTTCCATGAACTTTGAAGTTTCCTTGTATAAAATTTATGTACTACTTTTTCAGTAAGCGTTAAAACAAAAGGGTTTCCCTGTTATAAATGATTTGATTTCAAGAGAGTTCATCAACTATTTCACCTAATATAGTTTCATAAGAAACTTAATTATCCTGTTTTAGCTTATTTATTTGTTTAATAAGTACTGTTAAGTATGTGTTTATACTAAATTTTTTGTTTTTAAGATTTCAGTTTTTAAGCTCTAGATTCCTCGAAATGGAAATGCTACATAGATCAAAGGATATGAACAATTTAAAGGATTTTGATACTTGTAGTCAAGGTTTTTTTTTTTTTTTTTTTTAAGAAGTTTTTGCTATAGGGCATGTGCACTTGCCAGAAAGACAGAGAGAGACAGAGAGACAGAAAGTGAGAACTCCCCCGCTGGGGGTATGGGCATGCTGTAATCCCTTCTCCTCCATTTTCCTCTGGGGATCTTAGGCACACATGCACGCACGCACAGTGCGGCGTGAATTTTAAGCCACCGGGTCCGGGACGCGAACCGCGGTTGACTACGTGAGAGTCCAGCAACATAGCCATTATGCTAACTGCTGGTGCCCTCAGGGGGTGATTTTTGACTTTCCCTCTCACTGTCTCTCTCTCTCTTTGGTGAGCACGGGTACCTTAAGGTAAAAACCTCTTAAAAATAATATGTAACAAGAACCTGACCTTCACTTTCTATCCCAACTGAGTGGAAAGGTTCTTTGATTCCATGGATGAACAGATGTCTTCCTCCTCTTCTCCCTAGCTTGGCTGCTCCTTCACAAGCTGTAACTGTTTGTTTTTTATGAGAGTTTTTTTGCTACAGGGCTCATGGACTTGTCAGAGAGACAGACAGAGACAGAAAGTGAGAAATAACTCCCCAGGGGAGATGGCCGTGCCGCAATCCCTTGTCTTCCATTCTCCTTTTGGGGTTTTGAACACACGTGCAACACAGGGTGTTTCAACCCATCAGATCTGGGACTCAAACTGTGGTGGGCCATGTGGGCATCTAGTGACATAACCTTTGCACTATCTGCTGGTCTCTGTCTTTTTTTCTTTCAGGAGGGAAGACTGGACTCCATCATAATTGTGAATGGGAGACTAGTTGGGGGAGCAGAGAGAGCTGATGACTAAGGGACGGTGGGAGAAGGGGTTGCTCTAAGTTTCCTTCCAGGGTAGGTCTGTAAGAATGTAAGAATGATGGCGGTTCCTAACCAATACACTCCAAGGTCAGGGAGAAAGCAGGTGTGGCAGCCTTAAACCTGGAGTCATGGACAAACTGTTGAAAAATGTCTTTCTTGATATGCGAGAGAGGCTATCTCATTGTTTTAATTTACACTAGAAATGTATGGTACATATGCTTAGTTTAGGAAGTAATTTCCCTTCTAATGCTATCTCATTTATCATTAATTAAAAAATAAATTATTTTTGACAGCTACCACAATGTTTGACACGGGAGAGGACAAAGGTAATCCAGATGAATTTGCTGTGGCACTGGATGAAACTCTTGGAGACTTCGCATTCCCAGATGAATTTGTCTTTAATGTTTGGGGAGCCATCAGTGATGTCAAACAAGGAAGATTGTGATGTGGATGATCTGTCTGAGGAAACCAACCATTGTTCTTTTTAAAAACAAACCCCACCAAATCTGCTTTTAGATGCCTTTCTCTGGTTTCTGGTTCAGTTTTATGCATAGAGATATATTCTTTGAAATATAATTTTAGTGATTTGATTTCTGAGTATTTGATACAGTTGCTTATGTAGTGTACTTAAATGACCTCAAATATCGATTTTAATGTTCATTCAACAGTTTTTTTTTTTTTAAAGTAAGTTCTTAGGAGCATTTCTAGATAGTTGATTTTGATGCCCCAGCACCTATGTTTTATTTTCTATATATAAGTACAGGGGTTGATTGTGATAACTTTGTTGTTGTTCTGCAAAATCTTAATGTAATGGAAGTTAGGATTGGAGTGTGTTTCACCTCATAGCATCTTCATTTGTTATATTAGTTTGAATAGGACATATTCAGGAAATGAAATGTGAATTATGTCTACCATAAATGGAAGCATTTTTTAAAGAGATTTTTGCTGTAGAGTGCACATGGAGAGACAGAGAAAGAGACAGAGAGAAAGTGAGAAATTACCCCTTGGGTGTATGGCCATACCGCAATCCCTTCTCCTCCATTCTCTTCTGGGAATTTTTGGCACACATGCATATGCGCCTGGCATGAGTTTTAAGCCATCGGGTCTGGGACTCAAACCATGGACTACTATGTGGAGGATCCAGCAATGTAACCATTGTGCCATCTGCTTGTCCCGAAGCATTGTATTTTTTGTTCCACAGAGTACTGGACAATTCCTCTGACTTGTTGATTTCTATGGCTTACCTTCTCTTTTGTAAAACAAAAATCAATTGATTTTAAAAAATATTTTGTAATTGGTTTTAAAATTTGTGGTTGGAATCTATTGTGCTATGCTGTACTTGTGTTTGCATGTGGGAAAGGGTGAAAAAGAGGCAGGTAGGGTAGAAACACTTGCATCTCCTTTGTTGTTGTTGAAGTTCTTATAACATTATTTCTTTTTTTCCCCCATAACTACTTTTAGGTTACCTTTTATAAGCACTCCAGGGAAGGTTTTATATTCTTTGTAAAAATTTTCTTTTGAAAGATATTTACTGAGAAAATAACTATGTTTGAGAACATTTTTGGGGGCTTAAACAGCAACCTTTTACAGCCCCCTAAACCTTGGAGGAGATACTATCAGAAATGGCTTTCCCCCCAGTGGAAATAAAGAAGAAGGAAGAATTGAGAAAATGTATTAGTCTATTATTTCAGAGTTCTAACACACTCCCTCTAAACCTTACATTATTGAGGAAATTGAGGGTAAATGACTGTCTTATCACTCTTATTTGACATTTTACAGATGTAAGAGAAATGGAAATGAATGGTTTCAACAGAGACCATTTAATAAGGCAGAGCATGGTGTGACCAAGTATTCAGCTCAAGTGTTAGCTGAAAAATGTTGTGTGCTGCCACAGTAATCAGAAATAATAACCAGGGAGGGATGTATTCTAGAAAATCAGAAGTAGTTCCCTTTCCATGCTGTGTTATTGCTTAGATAACTCTGTTTTCTGGTAAGACTTTACTTTTATTGCCATCCACTCCCCTTCCAAAGAACTTCAATACTATGAAACTGGTATTCTTTGTCTGATTAATCTGAAGCCTGTGCAGAAGCTGTTTTAGTCGTTAATACATAACAAAAGTAGTTTATAGAATGTGGATTGTCTTACTGCTCTTGTCCATCATTTGAAAATGGGGTCCCATTCAGGGTATAATTTGTTGTTTAGCTGGTTTCTTTTGTAGGTTCTTAATTCTTTTTTTTTTAAATTTTTTAATTAATTTATTTTATTATTTTTTTCAATTTCAATTTACTTATTTGCATTCATTCACTTACATCATTACAGCATACAAAATGAGATTTTTCCATCCAGAGTACACTTATATTGGTTCTTAATTCTTAATACTATCTCTCTTGGAAAGACATTTTAAAAAGAGCTGGTATCTTTAGGAATAGAAAAGTTATTGGATGCTTTAGAAATAGAAATATTTTAGTTTAAAAAGTGACAAAAATTTTCTTGGCACCAGATGTTTGTTAAATTGGAAATAATTCCTTTTTCTCATTGATGGATTTTGGGGCTTATGTGAAGACTAACACTAGGTGTTATTGGCCCTGATTTATGGAATGTTTGATCATATGATCATTCCAGACTTTGGATGCCTAAGGTACAGATGTCATGCACAGATGAAACTATACATGTCTGCTAGCATTCACTGGGCCATTATCATTACTTGAGGCTTCAGCTGGGCCTACATGCTTTATAAATAGGTTGAGCAGCCCTGATCCAAAAACCTGAAAAGCACCAATCATCTGAAACGTTTTGAGCACTGACGTGATACCACAAATGAAAACTCCACACATGTGATAAGGCACAGTTAAAGCACTGCAATATAAAAATATTGTATGAAATTACATTCTACTTATACAGTAGAATATGTATACGAAATAAATGAATTTCATACTCAGATTTGTGTCCTATCTCCAAGATATTGTATTATGTATATGCAAATATTCTAAAATCAAAAAAAAAAATCTGAAATCCAAAATACTTTTAGTTACAAGCATTTCAAATGAGGAATATTTAACCTGTTCTATTAAGTTTTTATTTGAAATGTCTTTGTCTCACACAATCCCTTTCCTGTTTCTTCATCCTGTCAGAATTTTGGGCACATACTTGCACCCAGTATTTTTGAAGTCATTGGGGCTAGAATTCAGAATTTGTTGTTGGCTATGAAGGATCCAGCTCCTCCAGTCATTGGACCAGGGTGGTCTTAAATCTTTTTTTTTTTTTTAGGAACATTTTTGCTCTAGGGCACGTACACTTGCCATAGAGATAGAAAGCGATAAATTATCCCTCAGAAGGGATAGCCACACCACAATCCCTTCTCCTCGATTCTCTTCTGAGGACTTTGGGCATGCACGTACGTGTGCACCTGGTATGAGTTTCAAGTCGCTGGGTCCAGGACTTGAACTGTAGTCAACTACATCGGAGTCCAGCTACGAACCATTATACCATTTGTCCCATTCTTTATTCTTTTGAACATTTCATTTCTTTAGCACTACTAGACATTTTCAGGACTTTGTCATTTCTCTTTTTTCTTTTTTTGTAGTTTTTCTCCAGTTGAGGAGGATTGTGTTATTTCTTCTGATTTTATTCTGTGCAAAGCAGCAGCTTTTTTGAGTGGCCACTGAGAACACTAGTGCTTTCTTTGTGGCAGAAAATGCAGATGATGATCGCTTGCTGGGCTCAGTGGGGCCTTGACCAGAGCTGAGTCCCAACAGATGTACACATTGTGGTGATTATATATAACTACGCTTTGGGTTTCTGTGATGTTTCAGACATATAATTATATAATTTTATGATATGAAAATCTTTGAGAATTCAATTATAAAAACAGTAATCAGTTATCTTCTGTTTGGAGTGCTATCTCGAATATTATAACTGATAATTAACTAAAGAGATAACTTAATTTTTCAAATGATGTGTAATTTGCAGTATTTTCCCTCTGTAACTTTAGCAAATAGACATTTTCCAAGCAAAGCATACTTCATTTAGTCCCATGTTGTTCCTCGCTGTCTAGAGACTTCCTGGTCCCCTTTAGTTATCAATGCCTATGTAATATAGAGCAAAATGAACTTCATCTGCAAAATAGTGATTCTAATTATAGCACAGTTATCCACCAAAGATATAAAAGATCAACCATATAATCATGCTTTCATGCTTTGATGTATCTAAAAATACATGGATACCAAAGCTTTGCTATTACTCTGGCGGAGGTACTAGTTTAGGACAATTGAGTGCTTTACCTAGGCTGTTAGTGTATAAAGACACAGCAGATGCTGTTCACCTCACAGTCCCAAGTATCAGTGCCCTGTAAGATGTACATTTTATTATCTTCTTGTCCCAGATTGAAGGAGCTATCAGAGTAATTACGAGTTCTTACTCATATCGTGGTCATAAAGGTTTCTAACGTTGTGAAGTGTACACAACGGCACAGCCTGTCCCTACCTTAGTACCCGAAAACCTCGTTCTGAGAATTGACTCATAGTTATTGTCTGCTAGGAGAGTGAAAGTGGAACATAACCTCTTTATTTCAATCGGAGACATGAAAGCTCCATAAAACTTAGGTATAGCCATAGATATTTTGCAAGCAGTAACAAAAAGGAAACATTAAAAAAAAAATTTCTTAGAGATAGTTTTTAGTAAACACTTAATGTTTTGAACTGTTTGTGCCATGCCATAACATTGGGTACACACAGATAAAAATATTCTTTTTTTTTGAGAAAAGGCTTTTTAAATAAAAATTATAGCATATACTTTAAATATTTTTGAAATGGAATTTTGAAATCCTATTAATATATGAAATGGTAAATTATATTTTGATAACTGTTCTAAAATGTATTATTTACTACATTCCTACTTGTAGATATACAGATTTAGTCATGTATTGATCAAAAATGAATTATTTGTAAAGCTATAATTGTATAATCTGTCTTTTATTTTAAAATATGACTTATAAAAATAAACCTTTTTATGAAAAAAGTATTGAGTATTTTTGTCATGGAAAAAGGCTTGAGGACCA